GGTCTGATTTAGTTTACTCTCTATAGAAATCAGAGTGAGTATTTTTTAAAAATTTTTTATTTGTTTTTGAGAGAGAGAGAGAGAGAGAGAGAGAGAGAGAGAGAGAGAGAGTAGGGGAGGGGCAGAGAGAGAGGGGGGAACAGAGGATCCCAAATGGGTTCTGAGATGACAGCAGAGAGTCTGATATGGGGCTCAAACTCAAGAACTGTGAGATCATGACCTGAGCCAAAGTCGGATGCTTCACTGACTGAGCCATCCAGGTGCCCCAGAAATCAGAGTGAGTTAAAAAAAAAGAAAATATTTGAAAATAGGTTCATACTCAGGGTGCCTGAGTGGCTCAGTTGGTTGAGCCTCTGATTTCGGCTCAGATCATGATCTCATGGTTCATGGGTTTGAGCCCCGTATTGGGCTCTGTGCTGACGGCTCAGAGTCTGGAGCCTGCTTCGGATTCTGTGTCTCTCTTTCTCTGATCCTCCCATGTGCACTTTCTGTCTCTCTCTCTCTCTCTCAAAAATAAACAGCAGCAACAACAACAAAATAAAATAGGTTCATACAGCATCGTAAGAATAGTGTGGAGAAGTGTCTTACACTCTTTGTTTAGATACAAATTCTGCCAATTGTTCCAGTATCCTCCTTTTTAATAGAAAGGATCACTCTAGGAGCATGTGTTACATCTAATTGTCATGCCACTCTGGTCTTCTCCAGTCTGAAACAGTTTCTTGGCATTTCTTGACTTTTATGAAGTTTCGTATAGCCCAGACATCTTGTATAATGTCCCTCAACTTGAATTATACCAATGTTTCCTCATGATTAGGTGTAGGTCATGAATTTTGACCAGAATGTTCCAGATACTGTGTTTTTGCCATTGCATCGTATTGAGTGGTTCACAATGTCTATTTGCCCCATTATTGGCAGTGGTGATTGTAGTCACTTGACTAAGATGGTGTCTGCCCCGTTTCTTTATTGTAAAACTGTTCTTTTGCCTTTGTTATTAAATATTTTGTGAGAGGATCTTTAGAGATCATGCAAAAATTAAATTGCTCATTGCACTTGTGACGGTGATTCCCTCATCTGTCATCTTTTGGCCCGTATTCAGATGTGGGGTGTGGATGTCATGACCGTAACTCTTAACAACTAGATTTTATGCAGCGTTCCGTGATCCTGGCCCTATCAAATCCTTTCCTTTAGGAGCTCTTGGCACTATTTTCTTTCTTTCTTTCTTTCTTTCTTTCTTTCTTTCTTTCTTTCTTTCTTTCTTTCTTT